GTAACCATGAAAGAGATCGAGTTCAGTGGTTTAGAATGGAACCCCAAATATACACAAATCCAAATACACACACAAAGATACATTGATCTGCATAGTTGGGATGTGAGGCGGAGTCTAAATCGTCATCTGAACACGTGAAGTCTCTCCTTCTCCGTCTTCAAGATCTGATGAGTCGTCCACCGTATATTAACGGATCTTGGTCCGATGTCGTCTCTTCCGGCTCCAATGAATGCTCCGGCAAGTGAGAGATTGAAGGTGGGCTTCAAGTTCAAGACATTGTGGTAGATTTGGGGCAGGAGGATTGTCATCGATTTGTGGATTTGTGTTCACACAATAAACACACACTCAAATACGAGAGAGAGAGAGAGAGAGAGAGATTTATTTTTATTTTATTTTTATTTTTAATTTTTATTTTTTACATCTGAAAATTAGAAAAACAAATAAGAAAAAAAAAAGAAAATCATATTAGCAGGGGCAAATCCATCATTTTGAAAAAAAATCAAAACAAATTGGACCAACACAAGCAACAAAATGAAAACTTTGAACCTCTGGTGCTGGTCCAAACCTTTTTGGAACAAAGTGACAATTTTAAGCAAACCACATGGACCATTTGTGCAGTTTAGTCTTAAATATTCTCCTACATTTTATTTTTACTCATCCTCCTACCATATCAAATGATGATAAGTGGATTAAATTAGTATTAATTTCATTAAATGTATCATTAAATGTGACACATGTCAACATTTGATATGATAGAAGGATGGATAGAAATAAAATGTAGGAGAATATTTAATTTCTCTTTTCCAAATAGCAAAGTTAAGAACTAGTGTTGATCTAGTCAATGACCACTTAACTAAAAAGTTAGGTTATTGGGTTAATGTGGGAAAAATAGAACTTCCATGAACTTAAATCATTTAATTGACGTAATTATCACACGTATTTGAATTAACTTCTACCATACCAATTAAAATGAAGATACGATATTATTTTCGCATAAATAATAAATACAAAAGTTATGATATTTTATCATGAATCAAATTAACTAGATAAAATATATAATTGGTGTCTACTTGTTATTGGTGTAATCTTATAGGATTATATTATTAATTTATTACTAATACTATTCAAAAATGATTCTTAAGCATATAGATATTCCACCTATATCAAGAAATATTTAAATATACTTAAGGCTTCATCTTTGGTTTTTAAGAGATAACTCCATATTAATCTAGTATCATTATCTACTAGTAGCATAAGTGACTTGTTACTTGTTGGTGTGGTTGGCAAAATTAGACCACACATATCACCGTTTACTAGTTCAAGCCTTCTTGTAGCCCTAAATAGGACTTTCATGTTTGTTTTCCTACTAGGCATCCTTCACAAAGTCAAGTGGGATTATCGATTTGTGGCATACCATAAGAGCATTAGGTATGCGTCAGTGTTATAACACCATTTCACATGTCATCTCAACATTAACACCATATAAGAAATTGTGTGCTATGTTATAACATGTTGAGAGAGAGAGAGAGTTTTGATTGGTTTTGAATTCTCGTTTTGATATGTTGTAACGCCAACAAGAAGCACCATAACATGCAGGGGGCGGTGCTCTCCATGTTACGATGGTGTTATGGGGCTGACACCTCAGCAATAACGACGTCATGGACACGGACGGAGCCAAAAAAATTCGATAAAGGAGGCTTTTATATATATATATATATATATATATATATATATATATATATATATATATATATATATATATA